AATTTCCATAAGCCTTAACAAGCTTGTTCAATTGTCAAGAATTCTGGGAGTTGAAGGTCCAAACAGCTGGAGGGCCACAGTTTGAGGATGCCTGGTGTAGATGTTCACTACCTTTGGAGGTATATCTGTTGAGACCACAATAGCCTGGGGCTCATTGTCAGTTGAGTCCAGTATTTTCTTTAATAGCATGTTTTTGAATTGTGTTTACATTGTTTTAAATTATTCTTTGAATTTGTTTTGTGTCTTCATTGTATCTCTTATTTAATATTATAGGAAACCCCCTAAGACCCATTTTAAATCCAATAAAATAAAGGCAGATTTTTTTTTCATGGCATGACTTCAGTCTCACCAATTTCAGTGACACAGAAATACAAATAATTTAGTCTTATTCCATCCCATTGTGTTTACACTCCTAATAGAAAATTGCAAGCAAGTTGGTTATTGAGATTGTGAGGTCTCGGTATAGGATGCTTTTAGGCACCCATGAAATTGAAACACTTCAAAGATGTGTTCACATGCTGTGTTGTGATAACATTAGTGTAGAAAATCACATTTCTCTTAATGTTAATATAATCCAGCCCATAGTTAATTATAACACAGATTGGCTTTGGCAAGCTGGCTTTCCTTCGGCTGCCCAAGGCAAATCTTGCGTTTGTGTTTCTTACGCGATGCACTTGACAGCATCCTTGGTGACCTATTTTTAATGCAATGGCAGATTACTCTTCACTAGAGTGAATAATTCATAGAAATAGTAGCACTACCACACTGGCAGTACAATAGATGCTTTTATGCCTGCCTAATTGTGGAGAGAGACAGCATTCTCTGGCATTTTCTACTGAATTAGCAAAACAAGATACATATGAAATGAATGATTCTTTCCAATGCAATAATATCAGGAGCAATGAGTGATTTTTCATGGCCAAGCAGGGATTCAAACCCTGCTTTCCAGCATTGTAACCAAATTCTCAATCCATTACATTATGCTGGCTCTCTTTCTATAGCAACCTTTGGGCCTCCAGGAGTTTTGGACTTCAACTCCCAGAAATCCAAGCCAGCTTACCAGCTGTTAGAAACTGTGGAAGCTGAAGTCCAAAACACCTGGAGGACCAAAGGTTGGGAATGAAGTCCAAAACACCTGGAGGACCAAAGGCTGGGAAAGTTTTCTTTATGTAGATAAAGAAAACTTTCCCCAGGGATAATTGCATACAGTTGGATAGAGACGAAGCCAAGGGAGAAACTAGGATTGGCATTACTGTGTCAAAGCTTTCCAAAAGATGTATAACTCTTGGAATGTTTGTACATATGAGAGACAGACATAATTGCCCAATAATAAACTAAGGCATGTTACAAAAACAAACTGCAGTTTGAAAATTATACTTTTCTCAGACTAATAGACCAAACTTCCAGTCTCTTAAGCCATCAATCTCACAAAAGCAGGCTACACAGATGATCTTATACTAATGGAAATGGAAGTGATGATTTTGAGTGACCAGGGATACAATGTTTACTGAAAACATTCAGAAAGCCTGCCCCCACTTTCAATTTTATTAATTAATTTTCTGCAATTCTTGTTTACACAAAAATTTGGCACCAAAGCAAGAAAGCAGTTTCCTCTTGTGCAAGAGCAATGAATCTCTTAAGCTGCATTTTTAACCTTTGTAAATTCTCTTGTCTGATGGTGATGATATAATCTCTTAACATTGGACTGTTTTCTCAACAGAGTGTCTTAATATCACTTCTTGTCAAGAATAACACTTTGAATATTCTTTGAATGGCAGGAAAGTAGATAAAGATTAGGCCATAGGTTCTTTGTGATCAAACTGTGGGTGTATGTTTATGTATCTTCAAGTTTCTTGTTGTCTTATGGAGACCCCATGAATTTCATTGGGTTTTCTTAGGCAAGTAACACTGAGAGATTGTCTTGCCAGTTCTAGATATGGTAAAGGGGCAATACCTGCACATGTCTTCCATAACCAGATGAAAGTTGCACACATGAATTTGTGCCTGTAAGTATATTCATTTATTGCACCCTGCTTTTCTCTAGAGGTATTGTGAAAACACCGCATTTACTTAGCACTTGCTGTAGATCAGAGGTTCTCAAACTGTTCTCCGGGGAGACCTTGGGTGTCATGCTGCTTCCCACCTCCTCCTCTTTCCTCCTTCCGAGAAATGCAGGGAAAAGTAAAATTTTGAGCATCTGGAAACAACAGGAGCAGCAACAGCGGCCTTCCAGGGTACAGACCATTTCTCCCCACTCCCTCACTGCCCAGACCCTTTTATTCCCACATTCTTTATTTCAGAAATCCTATTTCCGCCCCCCCCCCCCCCCTGCTCAGGGGGTGCTTTGATTGTGTTTTTCCTGCATGACAGAAGGGGGTTGGACTGGATGACCTCTGGGGTTTCTATTATTATTATTATTATTATTGCTACTACTACTACTACTACAAAGGCTGGATGGCCATTTGTTGGAGGTGCTTTGATTGTGTTTTTCCTGCATGGCAGAAGGAGTTGGATTGTTGGTTAAAATTGCTCTTCATTTTAAATATTGCATTGTTCTTTCTTACCTTTTTTTCTTCACCATGTGAATTAGTTCACACAAACATTCTCCATCCATCTGCCACTGGCCCAGCCCATACGTGATACACACACACACACACACACACACACACACACACGGTATATACGTAATATAATATAGATAGATTCCTTGGGTGTCTAAAAGAGCTCCACGTCTGAAAGGTTTGAGAATCCCTGCTGTAGATTAATAGGAAGAAAAAGCAAACCTGTATTTAGAATGGTTATGCCCTCCTCCACCTTGAAGTTTATCAATTTTTTTTCTTTCTGCCCTTTTGTGGCTGCTCAATTGCCTAAATGACATGCAGTGGATTGAGGAGGTCTTCCTGACATGTGATCAGTAGTAATGAAACAGGTAAATGAGTGATTCTCTCTGTTCACTGAACAATCTTCCAATGAAAGCTAATGTTATGTTCACTTATTAATGAAGTAAATAATGTGCAGCTCTTTAGATGTTGGATTGCAATCCTCAATATTTTTTTGCCATAGATTCAAGTGACAGATCTAGATGGGAACTACAGCCCAAAACATCCAGAGCAGGATTTCTAAAACTTTTTCCACTCATGACTCCTTTCTGCCCATGAATTTTTTTTGTGACCCCTTTCCTCCCATGTTTTTTTACATAGCCCTGGGTAAACAGATATATAAAATAGGTTTAAAATATCAAACATTTATTGATAATAAACCTGCATTTTCAAGGCTTGCTGAAGAGCCTGATTTTCCTTTTTATGAAGTACAGCTGAAGCATTTTATGCAGAGTTCACGGTAAACACTGCACGCTGTTGCTAACAGATTTGTGTAAATGTCTAGTTGGTTTTCAAAAACTTTTTATTGTAGCCACCCCAACATAGAGTTAAGGGGACACCATTAGGGACCAGGACCCACAGTTTAAAGAGCAGTGATCTAGAGCAGTGGTTCTCAACCTTTCATCCACCAGACATTTTGGACTTCAGCTCCCACAGTTCCTAACAGCTGGTAAGATGGCTGGGATTTCTGAGAGTCCAAAACACCTGGAAGACTAAAGGTTGGAAACCACAGGTCTAGAGGATCACTCCTTGCCCACTTACTTAATGATGATGAAGAAGAAAGTTAATTGTTTCCTGCCTCTCCTCATGACTCAAGGTGAGGTGCAACACAGTTAAAACATCCAGATAAAATGCAAAACCATTATATATATATATATATTACAAAGATTAAAACACAATAGTAATAGAATGTAAATTTAGAATTCATAATTTAAATTTGATTATGTAGGCCTGCTGGAAGAGAAAAGTCTTTAATTGTATTTTAAATTCTAACAGCTTTTTTTTGCAGTAGGAGCTCTTCCAGCAGGTCATTCCAGTCTTGGGGCGGCCAATGAAAAGGACTTCTGGGTGACAGCTGTCAGTTGGATTCTGGCTGACTGGAGTAAACACCCCTCAGAGGACTTCAGTGGGTGGGGTGGGTTGTATGAGAAAAGGCAATCCTGTAGGTAACCTGAACCCAAACCATGTAGAGCTTTAATGGCCAGAACCAACACTTTGCCTGGAAACTAACTGGCAGTCAGTGGAGTGATTTTAGTAGAGGTGTAATATGCTAGATCAATGGTTCTCAACCTGTGAGACCCCAGGTGTTTTGGCCTACAACTCCCAGAAATCCCAGCCAGTTTACCAGCTGTTAGGATTTCTGGGAGTTGAAGGCCAAAACATCTGGGGACCCACAGGTCGAGAATCACTGTGCTAGATATTTCCGTGACCAATCTGGCTCTCATGTATTGAACTAACTGGAGTTTCTGAACTCAATACAGAAGTAGCCTCATATATAGCACATTGCAGAAGTCCAACCTTGAAATTACTAATGTGTGCATAACCATCTAAATGCCATTATAATACTGTTGAGAATAACAAACAGTGTGATGACATGACTGAATATAAGAATTAAAATTTATATATATCTTGCTCCAAACTTAATTGTACAATGTAATATTTGACTACTTGCAGAAGTAGTAATATATACTACTTGTGTATAATACAGGGTCACTTGTATGGTTGATGCACATACATATCCTGTGTTTTAGCTGACCTCTTCCTAATGTACTCAAGCATTTGTGGCAACAATCATTCAGATAGAATTGGACTCAAGAAAGGTTTGGCATAGTTGTCAACACCAGTAGAACAAGCAATGTCTGTGTCAGAAAGTGAGCTTGACATATTGTCCTGGCAGCACTGTGTAAAAAATAAACCTAAGTCTATACTGAGGTATGGTGGGGGTGGCTGCATTGCATAAATATTTGTGGAGAAAAGAATGCAAGAGTGATCAAATGAAGGAAAAACCGAGAGCCCTCCACACCTACAGCAGCTAGTTTAGTCTTCGATAAGCAGCTGTTTCAGCGATCCTTGTAAGTCACTCACAGCAGATGACGCTGCTGGAGCCAGACACTGCCGTGAGACCCCCACCCACACACCGCACTCCTCCTCTGCGCCTCCCTCGACATACATTCTCTCTTCTCTCTACTGTAACTTTACCAGGGTAACAGAATCGCTGATGCTTCTCCTGGCAGAAGAGTGACTCAGACCAGCTAATGACTGAGCACAAGCTGGTAACTGCTGCTCTGTCCCCCCTCCCTCCCCAGTACTCTTTCTCTCCCCTTTTAAATCAGACACACTAACTAAGCTGGAGCTGGCTGCATAGTACTGAGCAGTACAGCCTGCCGCTCAAATCCTGTTGCTGCTTTTATGAAGATCAGCTATAGAAGAGGAACTTTGGGGTTGCAAGCAAGTGTGTTCAGCCTCCTTACTATGAGTCTATGCATTTAGGTGGGTGCCTTTCCCCTTCCCTCCTGCTTAATTTTCTGACTTTGGTGGATTGTTGCATGTTCCTTCCCAGTGTTGCAATGTTAGTTGTTCTCCTGTGCCATATGTTTTGTGTCCTCTGTTGCCCAGCTCATAAAGTTATTTCAGAATGTTTCAAATGCAGCCTTAATTCGTTATGACATTTGGAAGTCCGTAGCCGTAGGGAAGTTGTTAAAAGCATGGAAGTGTTGTCACTGTTAAACAGAAAAGTGTGCCTTTTATATACCATGCTTTGTATGGAACACTATTGAATAAATTATGTGATCCAAAACATTTAGTAAAGATTCTCTGCAGGATCATAGGTTTGATTAATGTTTTAGGTACTAACTAATGTGTAAGCAAATAAAATATAGACAAATGTATTGCTGTGGAAGGGTAGATGTCTTAACACATTTCCAAGTCAATAGTGTAAAAAAAGGCCTTTTGAGTTTGTTAAAGGTGCTTTTTCATGTGGAAGGCTGTCAAGCTTTATTCAGTAAGCCATTTTGCCTGGAAATGCAGGTACCTTCTAAAGAAGACAAGCCCATATTTGAAACCTATATGATGGATTATTATTGTTGTTGTTGTTGTTGTTGTTTATTTATACCCCACTTTTCCTCTCCACAGGGAGACTCAAACTGGCTATGGTAACCATGATTGTATTTTTCTCCTTTTTCTTGTTTGTGGCTGCCTTGTTACAATAGATGATAGATGTTTCAGCTTTTTATAGCATTGCCAGATGCCCCTTATTTTAAGGGCTATTGTTAAGTTGAAAAGGCTTGTTCACCCCTTTGGAATGTTATGGTCCTCTAAATATAATTGGCAGAGCCTGGTTTCTTTTCTTGCTTTTTTACAAGCCCACAGCACAAATATACACCACAGCACTTTAGTGCCCCTTGACAATCCTGCCATTATCAGTTGCACACTGATAGATTGGAAAGTGCTTAACAAAATCCTTTGCATTGTTACACATTTTGACTGCCATTCTTCTCAAAGTTGAAGTTTCCATTAATTTCAGTTGGACTTGAGTGGGAAAATGTTTCAGGGGGATTATGTGTTCTGCTTAGTTTTGAGGAAAACACTCTTCCATACCTCATGCTTTCTCTGAAAACCTGTATGTTTTCCTTGAATATATTATCTATTATCAAATGGAGTTTCTTAATAATCTTCCCAATAATAATTAGGCTTTGACTGTGCAAGCCATATTTCTCTCTTTGTAGTCATCATATTATTAATTTTTAATGAATAGGCTAACATATTTGAATGGTAGGTATCTTCTATGTGATCATATGCTTGCAGCCTTTTGGAAATATGAGACAGCAGTGGTGATTGTAGCTGTTTGTCCAATTATAGTTTTAAATGCCAATAGCTGTTTGCTATTTCAAGTTGCATATCTTTTTTTAAGCATTTCTTTTACATTGTTTAGTTGCTGTCACACACTAAGGGACTTAGGAAATAGCAGTTCCAATTAGAAACATTATCATTTGTCTTTGCCCACAGCTAATTGAGATTCAGAAGCAATTCTTCCTTTCTAGAGAAACAAAGGCTAGGGTGTGCTCAGTGAAGTTGGCATGGGATGGGGGAAAAGTTCCTTTCCACTTAGGGAAAACTGCTCTGTGGCAAGTGCCAGACCTGGCTGAGACACAGTGCTAGCTTGGAGGTTCTTGTACTTGCACTGTTCTGATTTACATGCAAGGCTGGCCTTAAGGAAGGGGTTGGTTTCTGGGTCAAACTCAATCCCCTTAATGGTACAGAGAGTGAAAACTTGGCAGCCCTCCTTCTACTTGTACTCCTTCACTTCTCCTTTATGGGAAGACAAGGGAGGATAGGCATGCCAAGCAAATATGAGAAATGGCTACAGCAATAGTACAATCCCTACTTTTTCACTCACATGTGCCTGTCTCCTTGTCCTTCTAGATCAGTGGTTCTCAACCTGTGGGTGCCCAAATGTTTTGGCCTTCAACTCTTAGAAATCCTAACAGCTGGTAAACTGGTTGTGATTTCTAGGAGTTGTAGACCAAAACACCCTAGGACCTATGGGTTGAGAATCACTTTTCTAGATCTCTTCAAGGAACATACCTTGAAAAATGCATGACGAGGAGGTCATGGACACTGTTGTTGTTGTTGTTGTTGTTGTTGTTGTTGTTGTTGTGTGCTTTCAGTAGTTTCTGACTAAAACAACCCTATCACAGATTTATCTTGGCAAGATCAGAAAAAATATAATTCTGTAGTGTGAATGGACCCTCATTCAATGTTTTCTGACAGTCCTCTTACCTCTCATACTACAGGTGTAGGAATCCTGTATTCCTTCAGATGTTGCTGGGCTGCATTTTACAGCAGACCAATTTTGTATGATTGGTGATGAGATGTTTATAGAAACTGAAGTCCAACAAATAACTGGAGGGCAACATGTTCCCAACCTATTATTCCCTTAAGAGCATTGGTCGCAATTCAAGATTGGAAGCTGGTTGGACAGGCAGTGAAGGCACATAAACTTTACTTTGAGAAGCAGGAGAGTAAGAGATCTGTTTGTTTTTCTTAAAACCCGTTTTGAACATCGGCAGATGTTGGCAGTGTACCAATTGCACTGGAATAACAATCTGCATTTCTATAGTAGCACTATACATTGAAGTAATGCTTTATTCATCCCGTCCCCTCCCTACTGACAAAAACAGTTCTCATTTCCAGTGATCTTGCAACATTATTCTTGTATCCCATTCTGTTCAGAGGCTCTGTCCCTAAAAAATTTAGCTCTAGCTGAACAAATTCTGGGCACAGTGCTAACTACAGGCTCTTTAAAAGATAAAATGAAAAGGAAGTTGAAAAAATATAAACCATCTTATTGCAGCTGTACAAAAAAAATAGATACTGTTGTGCTGTCTTTCCACTATCTGCTGCTGCAAGGGACAAAAATCTCAGTGACAGCATAAAAGCAGAGCTGTAATCAGTATCATTCATACTTGTTGACAGATCTTCATAATATATCAAGATGAGTGAAGCTGCTAACACAGTGATCATGTACCTGCACCTGTTGTTACTTCTTGTAGCACTGAGCTCTAAATAAGAAGCAAGCTGATTTTTACAAGAGTTAAGCAGAATAGGTGATTGTCACAAGTGATGGTTTCTATCCGAGCAGTTCTAGTGATAGGGATTTTTTTTAAATAAAATAAAATGGTCATTTGACATGTCTGCCATTTATTCCAGAATGATGGGTAAGAGAACTCAGTTTAATAATACATTTTGTGGATAGTAGAGACAAAGGAGACCCTTTATCTGTAAGCAGTTTGGTGTTATTTTCATTTGCCAAGCTAAGCCATTCCGTTTGCAAGATAGACCTCCCTATGTTTGTGAGCATTCAACCGTCAAAAAGTACCAGCTGAAAATAGACAATGTGGAAAATGAATGGAGTAGCACCCTCTGAGATGCAAAGCATTCCTCGAAGTAGACTGACTGGGAAGTGCAGTAACTCTGCTGAAGCAATCTTAATGACAGCCTCAAGCTATTTTCACTCCATGAAGTGCAGAGAATTCTGGGTATCTATCCTTTAAGAAAAAAATCAAGACATTTCTAGGATTTTCTGTTATGTTCATTCAGTTTCATTAGCTCAATATGTACCATCTCTTTTTATTAAAAAAAAATCCAGGCTAATATCAGCTAAAGGTAGCATTTTCCAGAAAATACCAACACATCATCATAGTCTATATGAAAACTATATCATCATAGTCTATATGGAAAAGCTTTGGTTAAATATAATGCAAGATGCATCAACAAAAGTGCTCTGTAAAATGCATCCAAAGAAGTAGGCACTTTATCTGACCTTCTTGTATATAGAGGAGCTATGTGCATTTGACCCTCCCAAGAGTATGGGAAGCCACTGGGAAAGAGCAAATACCTCAGAAACATAGAAAGCAGGAAACAGATTAAGTTCCTTTCCATCTCAATTCCTGATTGTCCCCACCCAAAAGTGAAACTTTCACTTAAAGACCCTTTATCAATGTGTGTTTGCATGTTCATGAACATAGATATGAACGTGGACAAATTTGTTACACATGAACACAAACATGGATTAAGCATCCAATTAGCCTGCACGGATATTAAATGCAAGACAATGATCTTCCCATAGTTCTCTTCCTATCATCTGCACTCCTTAATGTCCAGAAGAATACTTTCTATACAGTTCAACTTTCATTTTCCCCACAGTTGTTTTCTCTGTTTTGAACAAAATATATTTAAGATGTGAGCTGCTGTACGCATGTATGTCCCACATATGATTTGGTCACACAGGAATGTCTACGTGGATAGAATTGAAAACAACATGGAAACTGTCTTGTATGAACCAGCAATGGGTAGACCCACTGAATTAATCCAGTTGTATGTGAACATAGAATGTCCTCCTAACAAAGAGTCCAGGGCAGTAAATAGCAATGATAGATGTGTTTTTGTAAGTTCTACAGTTTTGATGTCATGTGGATCCATGTCCCACCTTCAAAATAATACATACCCTTTGTGCGTTTGTAGGCCTAGGTATGGCAGTAAAACAAGACTAAAGGAAGCCAAGGATGGCACAGTTGCATGTTATTTGGCTACAAAATGCAAGCATCATTTGGAGGTCTTCCTAGACACACTAAGTATGATACAGTGTGTGATAATCCTGAATTTGGGTTGATCATTGGTCTACAGAGCAATCTGAATGCAAACAAATATGGGAGAACTTAATTTTAACATAGCCAGCATAGATTCCCCTGTTTTCTTTGCTTCTCTGTTGAAATCCTGCTCCAGCCCTAGATGCAAGAATAAGTACCTTGAAGATTATATAGCATAGCAAGGCATTTGAGCCTGTGATTTGAATCAAGCTTTTTCATCTTACCAAATTGTTCAGGAGTCTCCAGAATTAAGGGAAAGGAAAGAGATAACCCTTTGGGTGAGGAAAGTTGTGTGTAGCCCTTA